ATTTAAGTTTAATAACGAAATAATTTATTTATGGTTTAATAATATAACATTTTATAAAGATAATAATTAAGTATTCTGTTAGAATTCAATGATTATTCTAATTATGTTTTAGATTTTTTATATTCAAAATGATATGTTTATCCTGTATTTGATTATGTTTATCTGCAGTTAGTTACACGAATTCATATATGGAGCTTTAATAAGTTATACTTATGCACAATCTAATTGCAATCTTGAGTTTTAAGTAATATGCATTAATAAACAATATTTTGCGCATAAAAAGTAATTTTTAAGAGTTTTTTTTTTCAAATTCTTTATAATATAGTATAGATTATGTGTTTATAAGAAAACAATAATAAATTTATTTTTGAATAAAATATAAATTTGAAGATATTATAAAAATTTGAAAAAAAATATATCAATAATAATATCAAATCAACTATTTAAAAGTTTTCATTTTTTATGTAATTTTATTTATTTATTTTTTTATTATAATTTAATTTTAGTTTAATAATGAAATAATTTATTTTTGGTTTAACAATATAACATTTTATAAATATAATAATTAAGTATTCTGTTAGAACTCAACGATTATCCTAATTATATTTTAGATTATTTATATTTAAAATGAAATGTTTATCTTGTATTTGATTATGTTTATCTGCAGTTAGTTACACGAATTCAGATATGAATCTTTAATAAGTTATACTTACGCATTGAGTTTTAAGTAATATGCATTAATAAACAGTACTTTTACGTATAAAAAGTGGTTTTTAAAAGTTTTTGTCAAATGTTTTATAATATAGTATAGATTTAAATATTTATGAAAGATGAATAAGGTTAATTAATTTTGATCAATAGTTTATATTAGGAAACAATCAAAACTTCTATGAAATTACATATTCATCAAATTAAATGGACGGTTGAGATTGAGTTGTATTGGTTGTACAAATATAAAGGGTTGTATAATAACCTACCTCTCTCTCTCTTTATATATATATATATATATATATATATATATATATATATATATATATATATATATATATATAAGTTTTAGTTAGTAAATGGTCCCAATAATTTTGGCTCTAATTTTTAAGTTTCAAAATCAGTCATTTAGAGTTAGCTTCATACTTATAGCACCAAAGGGTTAATGCTCTATGGTTCTCCATCATCATCAATAATGCATGCACGTATATCTATTTTCTCTATGCTATCATCATTCGTCAACTTCACAACCAATCCATTTCAACGGACCACTTTTCATCCATCGCCTTCAACTTCACAATCGGTCACCATCGTCACTTACCTCCACCAATCGCCATTGTCGATAATCATCTTCCTCAACCTCCTTATAGCCCATCGAAAGAGAAGTTCTCAATCAACACTCTCCTCACATTACAACCCAATATTTGATGTTGTTGTTCAATTGAAAGTTCTTAGTTCAACAATGAAGTTCCTTAGTCAATGGAAGGTTCATTATCGATAGTTGCATCGTGGTGTCTGATTGGTTTGAGCTTGACTCCAAAGGTCAAAAGTATCTGGAGGTCCCAGGTTCAAATCCAATGGAGAATAAAAATCCCTTTTTGGCTACGGAGATTCAAATGTGGTGACTCCGGGCTATCTGCAAAGCAAGTGGTTGCCCTGGAATTAGTCGATTCGCATAGCGGGTTGGATATCCAGTTAATAAAAAAAAAAAATGAAAAAACAAAAAAAATTATGGTTTGTTTGTTTCTTGTAAAGTGAGACCGCGTTGACCAAAAAGACGCAATTTTGGAAAATCCGATATGCAAAAAGATGGAGGAAAATTGGTTTAATTAAGTCGAGATTTGTTCAACGGATCGAAACCCCCAAACGCAAAACCAGTCTGGATTTCATACCATACCATACCCTTCTCTTCGCCGCCGGCCGGCCGGCCATCCTTTCCTCCGTCTACATCCAAATCCAATTTCTGCACACATATAAGTATAAAAAAGGAGGAAGGAATTTTTTTTTGATTTCCAGAGGAGCATCTGAATTTCAAGATTAGTGTTTGTTGTTTTAGGGTTTTGGTAGGTTTGTGTGCTGGGGAATTATGGAGAGGGTTTTCAATAAAGTTCGGAATTTGGATGCGTACCCTAAAATCAATGAGGATTTCTACAGCCGTACGCTCTCCGGTGGTGTTATTACCCTCGTCTCTTCCATCGCCATGTTCCTTCTTTTCTTCTCCGAACTTGGTAAAGTTCCCTTCTTTTTTATCTGAAAGCCTTATTTTGCAAACGCTTGATTTGACCGATTGTTTGTTTTTTGGATATCAAAGGAATTGTTTTCTTCTCTACTTCTTTTTTCGATCTCGATATCTGTATCACTAATCTCAATGTATTTGTAGGTGATTTGATTACGGTTTTGTCAAGTATGAAGAACTTCTTTTTCTTTTTGGTTATTTCTGTAGGAAATTAGTTTTCTTTAGCGAATCCAATTTAGTTTAACTTTAGAGAATAAAAAAATAATTGCAGTACATGAATTTGAAGAGTATTAACAGTGCCATATTTTCTCGTTCTAAAGTTGTTAAGAGGAGAACATATAGACTATGGATCTAACTTTTCTCTGTCTAATTGCTGTTACTTTGGGGGGTTTCTGCTGTTTCAGATCCATATGTATGCTCTTGGTGATTGATGATTTAATACGATAATCTGGAGTTCTTGATCTCAAGAAAGTAGGGGAAGAAGGAAGAAATCTAGAAAACAATAAGAGATGAATAAGAAACTATATCATTCTTGCTTCTGAAGTATTCTTGATTCATATATCGCATGCATCTATCGTGTGCTGTAAATAATTCATTGGAGTGCGGCAACATGCTTCAAACTACTTAACTTGATCTTGGATATAAAAAATGCAGCCCGTTGACATTTTTCCTACTTGATTTAGGAATTGTTTATTTCTTCATTGAGTTAGATTGTTCATCACACTATATTATGATATACTGGTTATTGTTGTCACTAGTGTACTGGAAAAAGATGTGGTGGCGTATATGACTGGCCATATTTAGTTGGTGAGCTGTAAAACCCAGCTTCATGCCTTCATCATTCTCTTTGCTTTTATTCTTGACGTATATGATTGTCCATATTGACACTACTGATGCTAGGACCCAGTACTTTTTTTCTTTATTGAACCAGATTGTCCAAGAAGGATACTGATCTAAATCAAGAAGTGCCCATGTGGTCTCATATGTGCTGACTAAAAATATCATAAGTGAAATCCATGGTAACAGAATCTTAGACTATCATAGGAAACTGCCTTTGCAGATGCAAATGATGTGTGCAGTAAACTAAAACCAGTCGATGGTTGTTTGCTGATGCAAAATATTGGCCAACTAAAATTTATAGCTTCTTCTACAGGTGACTTTGGTAAAAGTCAGTGAAGTGTGATGAAGTAACCAAGGTTGTTGCTTGAAGCTTAAGAATCATGTGAAAAGCTTGCTACTAAGAAACTGTTCTGAATATTGTCTTTACAGTTCAGATAGTACAAAAGCATACAGACTACCCTATTTCCTTTTAATTCTGAAGCATTGGCCATAACTGTAATGCTGGTGGCTGCTTCATATAAAGGCATGATGAATCATATCTCACACCTTTAAACTTTAGTGCTATGTGGTAATCCGTTTAAATAAAGGATATCTGTTGTTTCTCTTAGTAATATAAATACAAAATATGGAAAAGGATGGGAGGTAATAGAGGGGCAGAGGATGCTCCAAGTGCCCCCAATAAATTCTATGTAACTTGTAGTTACTAGCAGATTTGTAATGACTTATTTGGAAGAAGTCTTCTAGCACGCACTCCATTTAGGTTAACAATCATGTTGTGGAGCTTGAGGTGTAGGTGTTTGTCATGAAATATGCTGCTCATAACCTTGGCATGATTAGAGATTATAGCAGAGTTGAAAGGAGATAAGTATGCTGTATGTGAATGTGTTAAGAGTGGATCTCAGTTCATAGTGAATGCTTGGGCTATTAAGCCTGAGAACATGGAATTGAATTTGATTTAGCAAATAACTGCTTTCTGCAGAAGTGCAGGCTTTAGGCATGTTTCTGTACTCACACATCACTCTCACTTTCTATTGTCTTTTAATAGTTATTTGGTTAGTTGGTTAGTCTCTATAGATGCTTCCTTTAAAGCTTGCCTCTGGCATTTGAAGTGTTATACCATGCATTTTTCTTCACAGTTTCTTATTTTGTTATTCATTCCAGCCACTTATTGGTACAATCCCTTATATGGTCTTTTGGCTAGTGTTTTATCTCCTTTAACTAACTTCTTGTTACTGCTTTAGCTTTAGACATCTCAATGTTAACTTCTAACTGTTGTTGGTGCCTTCTCTGATTGCAGGACTATATCTCCACACTGTTACTGAAACAAAGCTTGTAGTCGACACTTCTAGAGGGGAGAAACTACATATTAATGTAAACTACATTTAGATTGGTATCTCATTTTGGATATTGTGTTGATAAACAACTTTTTGACTAATATGCTTTTGATTATCCTCATACAGTTTCATTTGAACGACCATTGATTTATCTTTCTTCTAAATGCAGTTTGATATCACATTTCCTGCTGTTTCATGTACGCTACTCAGTCTTGATGCCATGGATATCAGTGGGGAACAACATCTTGATATTGTATGTTTAATGTTTGTTAAATGGTCTCTAGTTGTTCTCATGTTTACCCCAACCTGTGGTTGTGGTGGACCCATACAAGTTCTATCATTCTTTACTTCTCACCAACTTGTTACATCTAGTCTATACAAGCACTGTCACTATTATTTAGTGCTCTAATGTGTTATGTACATGTGTAAATCTAATTTGCAGAGACATGATATAGTAAAGAAAAGAATCGACTCTAGTGGCAATGTCATTGAAGTGAGACAAGAAGGAATCGGTGGCCCTCAGGTTAGGGCAATAATATTATGTACTTTAATCCATGTGGTTGTCAATTAAATCTGTCTGCTGCATAATTTCTCATCTTATTCCTGTGTATATATCATCACTTGTTCTGATTAACCTGGTTAATTTATTTGGTCCATATACATAATGAAGAGCAGGCATGAGTACTGTGTTTTCTTTTTTTATGTTCTTATATTCATTGTTAAATTTATGCCTATCTAGTTGGACCATGCTACTTAGTAAGAGCCTTTACATTTAAGATCATGTAACATGTCAATCGTTTTGTAATTTTCATTATGCTACATGTCACCCTGTGCAGATTGACAAGCCTTTGCAAAGACATGGTGGCAGGCTCGGGCATAATGAAACATATTGTGGTTCATGCTTTGGTGCAGAAGCGGTACATCTTTCTCTTCAGTTTCTCCCTGCCCCCAAAATTCTTTTCTACCTCCTGCTAAGCAAGTTGTTTTCTTTTCTCCGGAGCTTGTTTCGGTAACAAAATGTTCATATGATCACAAAACTGGTTTTTAGCTGTAAAGTGGCAACTTATATTTGCAAATGGGAGTCGTAAGCGAATTAAACTGATTTTTCTAAGTTCTACTATAGCTTGTGATCATTACTTTTTTCCTTCACCAATATCTTACATGTCACTGGCCTCGGTTTCTATTTAGATGATTAGTAAATCAGCAAAAAGATAATCTCTCTTCAAACTGCGTATCTCATACATGTACATCCATAGATACCTCTTTTGTAATATGACAACAGGGTTGGCATGTGAATTATATAGTTCTCCTTGAAGACACTGTAGGCCTGTTCATTAGGATTTCTGCTGGGTTAATGACCGGTGATTGTAAAGAAAGCATCAAGTATTGGAACAAAATAAATTGCATTTGCTTTTTTGGGTTCTGGACTAAAATTCTCCATTTTATTTGGTTGTTGGAACGGTCCTTAGTTTGTCTTCTCTGTTGTGCAGTCAGATGATGAATGCTGTAATTCATGTGAGGAGGTTCGTGAAGCATACCGAAGAAAAGGCTGGGGTTTGACGAATCCTGATTTGATTGACCAGGTATGCAAAAGCATATTCATGTCTATTTGGATATATTGAAGATCATATATAATTTTTTTCAAGGATGTCAGCTGAAACGTAAATGGAACATTCTTGATTCCTCCTGTCAATACGGGGATGTTAATTGGTTCTTTTCTGATCTCTCCAATGCCTAGTGATTATCTCTGAGCTTGACCTTGTGTTTGTCTCTCTCTTTCATTCCTGAGACCTAAAATACTGTTCCAAGTTACCATTGAGAATTGATGCTCAACAGAAATAACTGTGGTTAACCATTGTCCAAGAAGCACATGATAAATGGGTAGTTTGGAGAAATAAAGAAACCAAATTAGACATAAGACAGAAGACATAGGTTTACATGGCTTGGCAGTTGGCAGAAAATTGTCTACATCCTTTCGTGCTCAGTTTTGACTGCTTGAGAGTATGTTACATTTATCACTCGACTTCTATTCCAACCTGAATTTCACTTATCTGCCTGGATAAGTCCTTTGTACACCCAATTCTCAATATCCAAATCAATTGCCCCCTCTCATCACTCAATTTCTGTCACTACGTATTCCCATTCCTGTGTTCAACTGCTATTCTTTCACAATCCTTAGATTTAGACTAGCTGCCACTACAAAATTCTTCCAGAACTTTGGTTTAGCATCCTACCCTTTCTTCAGTTTCAAAAGGAACTTGTTTGAAGTTGGATGTAACATATAATTTTGCAAATCCAGTAATTGTTACTGAGATGGAGAGCCATATTTATAGTTGGGGGAGTATGCATGAAGGGTGAACATGTGCCAATTTTGAAGTGTAACATCTTCCGAAGCATTTCTAGATTTTTTCTAGATCGGGTCACCTACTAAAACTGTTTCAAACTTCTCTGAGAATGTGAAGTCATATGGAAAACGGAATAATCTTTCATAGTGAACCTAAAGATTGGAATAAGCAAAGTTAGGGAAAGTAGGGGATTGAAGATTCTAATGTCTTAGCTTAACTAGATCATCGGAATAATTGGGTTATTTTTAGTTCCATGATAACAATCTTTTTGTTTAAATTTGTAATCTATAAATACAATCTATTGTGATGGTCTTTCCTAGTGGTGATATTACCTTTAACTATGCTGGTGATAATGGTATGTCAATGGTCTCAGTGCAAACGGGAAGGTTTTGCTCAGAAGATTAAAGATGAAGAAGGTGAAGGATGCAATATCTATGGATCTTTGGAGGTTAATAAAGTGGCTGGAAATTTTCACTTCGTCAAAAGCTTTCATCAGTCAAGTATTCATATCCCTGATTTGATGGCTTTTCAAGAGGATAGTTATAATGTAGGCTATCTTCCCTCCTTTGCTAACCCCCGGTTTCTATTAAAACATTAGAGTTCTAGCTGTGGTTTTATTACTTTAAAGTTGAAAAATATTTATTCCCCTTTTATCTGTCCATATTTATGTTACTCTTGCGTGCTAGTAACTTGATTATGCATTATGCAGATAAGTCACAAGATAAATAAATTAGCTTTCGGAGACTATTATCCTGGGATCGTAAATCCGCTTGATGGGTAATTCTTCTTGCTTTGTTCTTTATATGTATCTTTTCACTAAGGCCCTGTGCCTCCAGAAAGAAAAAGAAACGACCATGCTCTTATCTTTTACACCAATTTAGTGCTATCAAAATTAACCACTAGTTCACATCTTTCATAAATATTCCCCTCAACCCCGAAAATTCCTTACCATTTTGATTTTCGTTATTGCCCTTAAATTGGGTTCAGGGTGCATTGGTTTCAAGAAACTCCAAATGGAATGTATCAGTACTTTATTAAGGTTAGTATTCTGTTATATTTACATTTCTCTTTATAAGCATGTATGTGAACATCATGGATAATCTCCACCACCGGACATTTTTACAACAGACCATTGCAGAGGAACACCATAACTTTGGCATAGTGGGCCTCTGCGCTCACATGATTTGATATGGGGTTACATTCGAGTTAGAACATTAGGGCAAGTGAATAAATGAAATAAAGAATAAACATCTTCAAGACTCGGTCCTGGAAAATTTAGCACCTGGGACTCTCCTAGTTGTTGATCTTGTAAAGGACAAATCTAAGTTCTTATATATATAATCCTCACTGCTCATCTCTTCCTTTCAGAAACCAAATAATTTGAAGTTTGTATATTACACTAATAATAGAGGTTACCCTTGTTCAATGGTTGACTGTACCCTTCATCAAACTTGTTTCTAACGCATAGAGAAGTTCATGATTTTCGATATTTCTCTAAATTGCAGGTAGTGCCAACCATATACACTAATATCAGAGGCTACAAAATTCAGTCAAATCAGGTATTTGCTCAAGTTTCAAAGAGGAGATGTTCCGTCATCACTGTCTTATTTTGGTATTAAGACACTTGGAATTTGTATCATACAGTTCTCAGTGACCGAACACTACAAGAGCCGAGAAATGGGCCAAAGGTCTCTCCCTGGTGTCTTTTTCTTCTATGACCTTTCTCCAATTAAGGTAGGTTCTAATTCAGTCTTGAAACTACTTGGTCTGATGAATACATTTATACAAACCCAAAGATTTGACCAAGAAGCTTCTATTCTTAAATTTAGTTGAAAGGGGACATCAAGAGATTACAATTTCATTTTGATCATTGTATTCTTGGTCGCTTCTGCAGGTGACATTTACAGAAACCCATGCCTCATTCTTACACTTCATGACCAATGTCTGTGCCATTGTTGGAGGTAAATAGTATGCTCGTCGATGGCTCTTTTTTGGGTAGCTATTCTTGTTTATGTGTGTGCGCATCTTGATTTGAGTTTTATTTTTATGTGTGTTTTCTATTTCATACATCATTCCAAATTGTGCCTATCGTCCTCTGAAGAACACTTTCATTTATTTCAGTTGGCTAAATGCCCTTTCACTTTCCCCCAACACTTATTTCGGCAAAAGTGTTCATTGTTAGTGTTTGTTTTGGGAAATTTGGCATAGTAATACAGGTTATTTTTGGAACCAACTGTTGGTTACAATGACTACAATCATGTTCATGAAACTTCATGCTACCCTAACATAAGAATATCTTGTTGCCAGAAAATATATAGTTTCAAGAAACTTAGGCATCTTGATACATTCAGCTAAATACATCATCGACATGTTCTGATAACTTTTCTAAAATGATCTTTTGTCAGGTATTTTCACAGTTGCAGGGATTGTAGATTCGTTCATTTACCATGGTCATAAGGCTCTAAGGAAGAAGATGGAAATCGGAAAGTTGGGTTAATCCATATAATTGCCACATACCTGATTGATATGAGACATGTTTGAGGCAAATGCAGACGAGCCAAAGGTCTTTTTGTAGCACTCCATTGCAAAATCCAAGTCGAATTTTTATTCCCCACCAACATATTTGTAATTTATCCTTCTTTTTGATTAGTCGTCTGTAATGCCCTGAACCTGGTGCAAAACCTTTGTGCCAACTGCTTGTTCATGCATGGTGGAAGTCAGTGAGTCGAACACCAACTGTTGGGCCTGAGAGTTAAAAACAGCAGTTTTGTTACTAATCTTTATTTTGGTCTAAAAGTTCACTTCTAAAACATTCTTTTTGGCAATTCAAAACTGGTCCTCAGGAATCAAGTTAAGTACTATGGTTCTCGGTTCCTTCTGGACCCAGCCATATGAACCTATAGATGCAAGAAAATGGGTTTGACCCCTTGTTCCCTTTAATCTGTATATATAACTTAAAGTTCCCATTTTTAGAGAGAAAATTCCAGACACAAGAAACAGAATGAGCAAAAGATCTCTTGGAAAGATTTATCGAGCCATGTGCTTGCTCATTTTTCATTAGCCGTTCTGTTTCTTCAATCTTGAAAGACATCTAATATTAAAATACATTGAATTTTGAAAGCTAAACTTCTAGAGCAAAAATGCTAAGATAATGAATCCAGAAAAGCTCAAATACGAAAAGTTGCCACCCACATAAAGACAGTTGAATCTATGTGAAACTATGTACTGTTCTTTAGGGCTTCCAGATTTCCCTCTTTGTATGGAAGCTTCAATCTAATGGCTTCGAAGTCCGTATTCTTTTGTTCTTCGTTTGTCAACCACTGGGAAAGACACTGACCGATGAGGTCGATGCTGTGACTCTGAGCAATTGTTGGGAAAGGAACAGAAATGCCACTCTTGGCTAGTTTGGTCCTGCCATATCTCAAGATATGCTCTAGGTTTGAGTCAGTTGGGTCACTGAGATACCGGTCCACTGTGCTCTTGATGGCACCACACCAGATTGGACGAGCCACCTTAAGGAATTCATGCACAGCCACCACTGGCAGGCTCACACTTCCCAAAGCAGACTCGCTGTTGCCACCTCTTGCATGATAGTCTGAACCTCCAAGCTTCAGAAGATCATATGAATCCGCTAGATCACTGAATGCTGTAGATACCATGATTGAAATAACCAGTGAAAATCGTGTAGGTGACATTTTTGAAGGGAAAATTGCATGGAAAAGCGAAAACTTTAAAACTTCATTTTAGCACCTCAGATTTGAGGTCTCAAACATTTATGTTTCCATATGAGGATGCAATGTACTTTGTTCTTATTCCTATTTTGTTTAATATTAGTCTAAATGTTTGGGGCATCAAATCTGAAGGTTTTAGATGTAAGTTACATTTTCATGCAATTTGGCCTTTAATAGCTTTTCCACGCATGCACAAACAACTTCAACTCGGGAAGCTCCTAGAAAAGGAAACATTGCAATGTTCCGGAAAAGAAAACGTGACAGTTTCTTGGGACGTAAAGAATGCATGCATACCTGCTAATTTTCCGTCACTTCTATAAACCTCCAACCCATGCAAGCCAGCTTCTTTTAATCTTCTGATAACCGCAACTGGATTTTTCAACGCCCATGGATGAGCCAGCACCACCACACCACCAGTTTCACATATCAATCGCACCGCTTCCTCCGCGTCAGGCTCACTTCCGCTGCACAAGAAAACAAACAAGAAACCATTCTTACCATCTTGAAAATATTCAAGTGATAAAATGAAGCTAAAAACTAAAAGATACTTGCGTAGAATAAGCAGGTCCTCCATCATAAAGGTAACGGCTAAAAGCTTGTTTCAAATTCTCTACATGGCCTGCTTCAACCATAGCACGAGCAACGTGCAGTCTTCCTGGAGCGACACCATCACCTGCAATCTTTTCCACATTCTCCCACCTAAGAGGCAACTTGAGTTTGTTCAATTTTGAGATCATGTTCTTTGCTCGGAGGTAACGCCCTTCTCTTATATTAGCCAAAAACTGATCCAGCTTTTCAAAATTTGCTGGTCCACAACTGCTATAATAGGCTAGAACATGAACCGGTTCTTCTGATCCAGACTCCGTTCTGTTTAAAAAGCGTTTTGGATGTCAGGGGTAAGATTCATTCAACATACTTCAAAATGTAGCTTCCATCCCAAAATCATTGAAAGGGGTATTAAAACATCAATTTTTGCTTAAAAACGATTGAAAATTCCATTGGGGAAGGTAGAAGCATCAAATAATATACCCGATTGAATTGTTGTTATGTCACATGCATCATATCTTGAACTTTTGAACGAAGATCTCCTGAAATTACTTTTTTCATTTTAAGCATTACATGCACACGAAAATGTGCAAATCTAACCTGGGGGTGAAAATGGTACTGATTTCAACACCAGGGATAATCTTGATGCCAACTCTTCGAGCTGCCTCTAGGGCTTGAGGGATGCCGGCCATTGTATCATGATCCGTCAGAGAAAGGACTTTTACCTGTTCTGAACAAATTGGACTAATCAATTCACAAATGAAATGATATGCGGAAATAGTAACATATATAATTGTATGTCATAGACAGTTGGCATGGAGAGTATGTAAAATAATGAACAAGCAGCTGCAAAGTAGACCTCAATCTTATTCTTTTCCAACAATTACCATATTTCGGTTCTTCAACCGTTGACAAAGATTGACATCTAATTCAACATCCCTACACCCATCAAATTAAACCACATAAATTTACCTCTTTGGCACCTTAGCTGTCTCTTAATCTTGTGGTAAAATACATTTTTCAACACGTGCGTACCAAAATCTCAAAATCAAAATAGTAAGAATCATATGCAATCTGTCATCATAACTATTGAGAACTAAACTCTATGTGAAATGTAATGAACACAAGACAGAAGGTACTTGAACCCCAAAGCAAGCGAACGAGGTCAACTAAGGGTATTGCTTCAAAAGACTTGTAATTGTCTTCGAAATTTGCAAAAGACTGTCAAAATCTTTTCAAGGAATTTGGCTGCTAATATATTCATAGGGTATTGCTTCAAAAGAGCAATGGACATACGAGCAGACTTCTATTTTCCGAGCTAATACATGGTTTATTGATGAAACAAGGGCATAAGATGAACATATCAAAAGAGGCTTAAGGGGCATTCTAGTTCCCCGGGCCTGTGATCACTCGGCTCAAGTAGTATACTGGGCATTCCTTCCTATCGCAATGCCCCACGAGAAGTAGAAGTGAGATAAAGCTGCAAGGGATTGGCTGTATCTCTTTACCTACTGCTGCCGGTGCTGACTCCGTCAGCATCAACTAGTTTACCAAACGAAATGCCAACCGAGCACCTACTGGGCAGCATTATAAATTTCACTTATCAGGTCAGCACAAGATGATAAAGGTATTTTATCTGTAAGCACTTACCTGCTACGTGTTGGTAAACAGCCCCTTAATGACATGAAATCTCAACACTCAGATTACTACCTTAACAAGTTCTATTCCAAACTAGTTGGGTACGTGAGAGGAAGTCATAAAATGGTGCTACCCAAAATCAAATAAATAGGTGAACCTCCCTCGATGGCCATAATTTGACATTTACATCCAATCTTGTACCTTTCAAATAATAATTTCTTGAACCTGTTAAGTTTGAATTACATCTTTAGTTACGTTAGATCCATAACTAAAGTTCAAGGCCAAAGCCCAGATATGCTGCAACAAATTCATGAAGAAAAAGAAACAATAAAAAATGATAACTATAAAAAAGAAAAACCCTTATTATTTGGGATTCCCACTTCATAGTTCATACCACATGCTACTCCCCAAAACGCTGCACTTTAGAAGTTGATATCAACACAGATGCTTTCCAAACTCAAGTAAGTTTTCTTTTGAACATATAACACCAATAATATTTAGTTCTAATGTTACAAATACTGATAATTTATTCAAAAGTTTAAGTTCCATGACAATTGTAGCAGTGGAAAGTAGCTTCTTCGGTTACCAAAATCAAAGCACGGCTCTTTTTTATGGACGGTTGGAGTTACAAACAAGAATATCAAATTAGGCAACCACTATCAACAAGCTTAAAAGACGCACACATACAAGATAACGCACACCATGTGTTTGATAAAATGACTCGATAAAGAAATGGAAAATAAGCAGAATTAGATACTCATACATACCCCATGCTGATGGGCTCTTTCCACAAGCTTGGAAGGAGACAAGAACCCATCACTGCAAATCGAATGAGAATGTAATTCAAACACCAATTTCTCAGCCGAAACCTTGGTATGCACCAACTTCACCTTAAAATCATCATCAATGGCGATGGCCGAATTCCCCGAAGAAGATATATTGTCCAAGTAAACCCATTCACTAACGGATCTGTAAGCAAGAGATTGTTCCACCGTCATCCTTTTCTTCGTACCACCACGCTTGTTCTTCTTCTTCTTGTTATTGTTGTTCTTGGAATGATTATTATTGCCGTTCCTACCCATCATCTAGTGCAGACGATTGAGAGAAAAAGAAAGCAAAAGGAAATCTATTTGGGGGTTCGAAATGGTGAGAAAACTATTTACCTGTCGGTTGCCATCTCAATTCACGGAAGATTTCCACTTCCGTATGCTGACGCTGTACTTTTGAATTTAAGAACCGGATTACAGAAACAGTCCCCAACAATTTCTATATTTGCAAAATCAGTCCCTCTACCTTTTCTTTTCTTTTGCAATGCATAGCTTAACAAAAGTGTTGTTAAGATGGGTAAATATGAAACAAGTTTAATTCTAAACCTAGCTTTTTAATTGATTCTCCAAGTGAAAAAACATACCCTTCTACTTATGAAATGAACTGTTATGCCTTTTTTTTGTCTGTTTACTTGTTTGATCTGATATTTTGATGACCTCTGTCTTGTATTGGCATGTTGATTCTTCTGCTTAATAAGTTTCGTCACTTTTCCTTGTTGAATTTCCAGTGTTATAGGATGATAGGAATCTGTATGCATAATGCTATATACGTTTCTTGAAGATGTTTCTTTGAAAGAACAAGGAAGTTCATGAGCATGTTTACTGTGAAGTTGTGAAGCATGCATGTTTGTACGTTTACTGCTATGGAAAACAAACGGATCAAAACGTGAAACATACTCCTTGATCATTTCCAAGACAGTCAGATGCACTTGAACTAGCATAGATGGTAACTTTTTCTGATAAAAGTTGTATGCATACATTTACTGGGACATATTCCTTTGTCTCGTTGCTTGAGTAATTAACAAGAACTTGCAACATAAGTTTAGGTTATCCTATTGGTTAACTCTTATATTGTCTTCCTGTGATTACAAAAGTACCTCTCATGCTTAGACTTTCGTAGTTTTCACTAGATCTATTAGCAAATAAAGAGAATGATAAGAGTAAAGTTAAAGAGAATTTTATGTGTCGAGTCCCGAAGAAATTTGTAGATAACGAAAAATAGTATCCCTTTTGTTTTTTTTTTCTTTTCATCATTTCATATATATATATATATATATACACACACACACACACACACACACACACACACAGAGAGTTGGGTTCACGTGAGACTAAAGGTTTTTCGTGAGACCTGTAAGACCAGTTTATGTTCATTGATCAACTTTAGGTCTAAAGTTGTACGATGACAATTCTGTGATTATTAAGAAGTCTCGTGACAATTTTGTGATTATGAATGTTTAGATTATGCATCTAATCCAATGGTTGAGAATTGGTCTTATGAGTCTCATGAAAAACCCTTGATCTCACATGATCCCAAATATATATATATATATATATATATATATATATATATATATCTTTGTCATTTTGAATCGGGGGTCACACTAAAGGACAAATGAATGGTTCAATTGATATATAGTTAAATAAATGAAAGAGTCCCTTTTGGTCGTTTCTTATTTGTATTTTGTTTGAACTTTCAATCTAATGGATTGATGATTATTAAACCGATAACTAAGGCCGCTCAAGCAAAAGGCTATTAAAGTCATTGCGGCCCTGTTGAGAATTAAAGCCTATTTTTATGAGTATTTGGCGTACTCAGTATTTATAGTTCATAATGATTTGTATTAAACTCTTGTCATTTTTTTCAAAATATACATTTCATTTGTATCAAAACGAGTGTGCACATTTCTATTTTAATTTGTCACAAAATAAGTGTCAACTTTCAAAAGTACATGTTTACTTTTCCACTCCACACTTAGTTATAAAATGAAGAAATTTTATCTCTCTATTATTAAGGATAAAATTGTCATTTGCTTAATTTAAAAAAATATGATAACAGATTTCTAAAATTGTATATCATCTTCACTATGGATATATATTTTGAGACATAGAGAGAAATATGTTTTAATTATATCAAGTATTCACTTTTATTTTTTAATACAGTTTGACTTATTAAACTAAATATGATCATTCATTTTACACGTGTTAAATAAATTATTGATCGAATTCCCCTTCTCTCATAAACAATTAACATGTATTTTGATCAGTAACCCTGGAACCGACATCCACCGTTCACACGAAGAGCATCATGTAAAAAGCAATTAGGTACACAACGATCTGTTAGATTGTTGTGTTAATAACTCAACCTACACAGGGAGTCAAATCTCTAAATGAATTGTATCTTCCACATACCACAACACTGCACCAGTCAGATTTGTAAATAGTAAAACAACAAATGTGGTGTAATAGTATTCACCAATGATATTTTTTAATTAATATTCTAATACTAACAAAATAGTCATTTAATTTTAAATTTTATGGTTTTTTTACTCTATTTAATAACATTTAAATATATTATCAACTTTCAATTTTTAAAAGTATTATTTTGTAATAATTTACAACACAACACAATGCATATGTTATGTATTATAAGTGATGCTAACAAAATTAAGGGCATCAATGTGTAGGGGGTATTTTTTGTCTCACTCAGTGGTTGAGGCTACAGAAGGTGCTCATGGTATCATTGTGAATATAAAAAGCAAAACTGTGAGCCTAGAAATATACATGTCTTGTTGAGATGTGATATGATTGCATTGCGATGCCAGACTTTTGGAGTTGATGTAAATCAATTTAAGATTAAGATTTTTTCATTCATTCTTATCCAATAATAAAACATTATCATCCAATAAAAAAAGACCCTTAGAGTAATTTACTCAGTGAAAGGGAGCAAAATTGTTCGAACCCTTGTTCTTATTAGTCTTGATTTTAGTTTTGTTAGGTTTAAGTCCGACTAAATATTATTCTACAACTAGCAATTCATTTATATTCAAACTGACAAATTTACCCTATTTTATTTGATTGACTAATACTTTGTATTGGAAAGGTTGAAGGCAAATCTATAGGACATACACGAACACATACCTCACAAGCAATCATTTATCAAATTCAAAGTGGAGTCGTCCGTGGAAAAACGCTTGAATGCCTGGAATGAGAGGATAGACTGAGAGATAGACCATAGGAAAGAAATTGGTTACTATAGACAGACCGGAGAAATAAATGCACTCACTCTTGCAGCGGTTATTCCTAACAAAGACGTATCCTTGTCAAATTCGATTGAACTGAAGATGAAGGAAGAGTTCGTTTAATTGTGGAAGTAAGACGTGTATATGTGATATTAGATATGACTACTGCTATTGGATTTGAACCAATGACTTATGACTCCCATCGTAGAAAAAAAAAATACTCTAACTGATGAGTTACATATCTATAATTGATTTATTTTGTGTAATACTAATCGATATGGCCTCATTAGTAAGTGTTACAAGATCTCGTGCATTGGAATCCATGGTTATGGACCCGAATCCATTAGTATGGAACATTTTCTTTTCCAAGTGAAACCCCCTACTATATGAAACAGTGAAAAAGTGTTTTCATTGTTGTGGAATAAGATCATTATGCTCGATAACAGGAATGAGGGAAGCTCCAATAGAAAAATATTGGAAGGAAAAAAAATACTTCAAAGATGAACCTATTCCCATGCAATAGTAAGGAATTCTTGACGATATCGAGATGAAAAACATGTTCTTCTTGAAGACCCTGATTTAACGCCTGGATAACATCCTTTTTCGGTTGGGTATGGCTCTGACTATTCCGAGAGCTCGCCAATTAGTTAACTATAGACATATTTTAGTCAATGGTCGTATAGTAGATATACCATCTCATATAGGCCTTTATGTCACTAGCCTGTAAATGGACCTTTATGAGCTTCTAAAATATCTTTTAGACTATGACCAATGCCCCGGTTGGTCCTATACACGTGACTCACTATCAAGGCCAAAATCACATATTTTTGGCCATTTTACCCCATACTGTAGGGTGGATCTCGAAAGATATGAAAGATCTCCCTCCAAGCCGTACATATGACTTTCATCAAATACGACTTTATGCAAGATTAAACTATAAGATAAATAAGCCTCTCTAGACCATAGAAGTGCGCATCAAGACCATGCGAAGGGTTTGGTTAAGATATGCCAAATTTGCAATTCCTCATGAGGGGATGAATGGAGAGAATTTTGAATTAGAGCTCTAGATTTTTGTTCATCCCTCGCCACAATAGAGAAACCTTTTATTATCTTATATCATCTGGGTAATGATCCGTCAACCTGATGTTTCTTTTTCTGAAGCAACAACAGGAGAATTCATCCTGGTAGTGGGAGAACTGCTGAAACTACGTGAAACTCTGACAAGGTTTTATGCATGGAACAATAAATGGAAATGGAATCAAACCTCCTCCTATTGGTAAGTTCAGTCTGTTAGGCATAGGGCTAATAGCACAATGGTCGTGCGACTAGGCTTTGTGGGTTCAAATGTCGGTTTGAGATAACCAGCCCGTCAGACAATCCAGTTGATCTTTCTTTCATCAAGTCACAAGCAGGCAGACTAAGAATCAAGAGTGGAAGAAAGTGAAGGTGAAGTAGACTTTCTTTGTCAATCCTAATTAATAAGGGCAAATTGGGATCGAACACAAGACATGTCTCATATTTGGACAAAAGTCACTCCATCCCTTTGTCAATTGCAAGAGATAAACATTGCCCTTTAATAATACTTAAAAAGGTTAAATTAAACTAAAATAAAAAATACTTTTTTCTACTTTCCAGATTGAGGAACTTATTTTTGTAAGACTTAATTTTTATGTTTAAGGTGAAAATAGTTTAATAATTTTTATTTGTCTTAACTATTTGATTTGATGACAGTGCAAATACATCTGATACAACACTTAGAAGAAATCTTAGTTCGCCTTAGGTCTATTCAAATATTTACATCTGATTTGATGTCAAGTACCGTTCGAATTCGACAACTGAATTCATATTCGGATTCAATGTCAGAAATCAAATGTTCAAATGTGCTATCAACATCCTGATCTAGTAATTAGATTTGGAAACTCAACATAAAGATGTGACGTTCGGATGCAACATTCAACATTCTAATCTAACATCCAGGTTTAGGGCCAAAAGTCAAATTGATCTAAGGGTGCGTTTGGTTTGCAGGAATGTTTCTGATGGATTTGGATTCCCAGGAGGGATTTGGATTCCATAGGATTTGGATTGGATTGGATTTAAAATTCATTC